AATCCTAAATAAATGAATAAGATAAACAACAAATAATTAATGAAAACGTGTTTTATGTTTATATTATATGTCAATATAAGTATTAATATAATGAAAATATTTATTTAAACATTGTGGTTCATAGAAATGTTATGTTACAGTTATTAAATTAAAAAGACGATATGCTTTTTATATAAAAAGGTCGCTACAAAATATTAAATTGTAGTTGTGGATTATTTAACAGGTTATTAATGAAAATATACAATAATTTTTTTCAGATATGAAATACTTCTAATCATACAACATGTTTTAGTTAGCTTATATTCTTTCACTTATTTGTATAGCTTTGATTTTGTATACAGGCATGTTGCAAAGAGAAACGAAAATGCAAAAGATTGTATTAATAATTCCTTCAACAGTTATAAGTGAATGTATATGGAATTGTGCATTGTGATGATAATTTTGTTTATTAACACGTTGAGCGCCACGCGTTTTTGTTTGCCATGTTACAATGAATCCCATTAATCCTGAAATGATACCAAATTAAGTAAATTTTAAATATAATTTCTGTAATTCCATAAAATAGTGTAAAATTTTAGAGTTCTCATGTTACACGCTGTCAGCCATCGATGGTTGACGCGGCCTGAACGGAAAGTCCAGTGTCAGCCACCGGTGGCTGACGTGGCCTGAACGGAAAGTCCAGTGTCAGCCACCGATGGCTGACGTGGCGCTCAACGTGTTAATAAATTCAATTTTACTGATTCATTATAAAGCTTTATAACATTTATATTTTATTTTAGACAGAAAAATGTCATACGGAGATATTATTGGATAAGTTAAATTTACAAAATGTAATTACAACACTTAATACAAAAAAAGCTAATATTCGTGTAATGCTACACAAACTTTCGACAAAAATTTGTAAAGAAAATTTAGGAGAAAATAGGTGGAAAACATCTTATGTATCAGGATCAAATTTTACAGAAAACAAACATAAGTTTCCCTGTACAGAATTTACAAAACCTATCATTATACCAATTGTATATTTATTGTCACAACAGAACTGTAGTACATCATGTACTTTCTGTATTAGAAATCCATCTAATTATCGTATACAAATTCGTAGTTTTAAAACAAGACGTAATGTAAATAGAGACTTGAATACAAGACCATCGTTCGCAAGCAGGATTAGAAAATGGCTTCTTCATTCTTCAAACACGGTAAAACAATGTTTATTTAATAAGTATCTATGAAAGTATCATTTGCAAAAATGAGACAGAAGCATTTTGTAATTATATTATAACATAGAGTTCATCTGCCCGAATTCAGACATTGGAATCAGATTTTGAAAAAGTAAAAAATATGTTCAGTTCCACTGAATCTTCAGCAGGGAATCAAGACAAAGTGAAAACTGCTTTTATAGAAGGTTATGAAGCAGGTCTCCAGCGACAGATTCGTGGAAGTTCTATGTGGCCAAAGATGCTGATTAATATTATGTCCCTAATCTTCATCGGGTCGTTAGCTTGGTATTTTGGTATGTAAATTAAAGTTCAAGATTTTATGTGTTAAAAGATTTTAAATATTATTTTTTTTCTACAAATTCTCATTATTAGTTTACTTTTACACACCAATGTAATAAAATAATGGGTAATACTAAACATCCTAGTTTAAAATTCAGATTTGTGTACTTGCAGTTTTAAATTTTGTTTCGAAAATTAATGGAGATATACTTGATAAACTTGATATAAACAGGTTTCAGCATATAAACAATTTACCTCTATTATTTAATGAAACAAAAAACGCGGAATTATGTAACGGTTTGCAGAGCCGTATTTATTGTTGGATCAATTTTCTTTAATTTAAATTGTTGATTTTCTTTTTTTCCGAATTACGCTTGAAATATTCATGAGATCTTAAAACTAATTGAAGAATATTGCAAGTATAGAATACTGTGTAAGTATTTATATATTTAAATATTTTTAAAACTTGCATATAAGAAATTATAAATGCATATTTTAAAAATATCTACATATTCTATATATTTCTTCTGTTACAGTTATCAAATCAGGAGGCGTCTTCCGATTTACAATTGGTCAAAGATCTGAAATTAATCCAGAAGCAATTAGTGTGACTTTCAATGATGTAAAAGGAGTAAGCACTGCAATTAAGTCTAAGATTGTACTGGTGCACTGCATTACAAAATGTAGTTCATATTTTTGTATTTACATATAATTAGGTTGAAGAAGCCATGGAGGAATTGAGGAATATAGTTGAATTTTTGAAAAATCCAGATAAGTTTTCTGCACTTGGTGGAAAATTACCTAAAGGTGTGTTACTAGTAGGACCACCAGGGACAGGAAAAACATTGTTAGCACGAGCTATAGCTGGTGAAGCTGGAGTGCCATTCTTCCATGCTGCCGGTCCAGAATTTGACGAAATTTTGGTGGGACAAGGTGCACGTAGAGTAAGAGAATTATTCAGTAAGTATAATGTATATTTACATGTTATATGTATACACACGCAAATATCAAGAATTACTGTATTACTCTTTAATGATATTTTAATTCTAAAGAAAAGACCAATAAATGTCATATTAAATCATTTTACAGAAGCAGCAAAAGCAAAAGCTCCATCTGTAATATTTATTGATGAGATTGACTCTGTTGGTGCAAAACGAACAAATTCAGTTCTTCACCCATACGCAAATCAAACAATAAATCAGTTATTAGCAGAAATGGATGGGTAATGTAGACGTCTATATTTTCTCTTCTTATTCAAATTGAAAAGTGAGAAGTGAAAAACAGATCGAAGAAAAATAATCGTTATACTATATTACGATTTTCATTTATATATATATATTATTCTAATTCTATCTATTAAATATATGTTAGTTAATTTTGTTTCTCCTCTTACAGATTCCTGCAAAATGAAGGTGTTATAGTACTGGGCGCAACTAATAGACGAGATGATTTAGATAAAGCATTGTTACGACCTGGTCGTTTTGATGTTCAAGTTTTTATAAATAAACCAAACTTTCTGGGTCGGAAAGAAATTTTAGATTTATATTTGTCAAGAGTATTAACACGAGATATTGATATAGAATATTTAGCAAGGTGTACTGCTGGATTTACTGGCGCGGATATAGAAAATATGGTAATTGCTCTTAAATATTTTCTATACATATTATGTATTCTATATTATTATTATATTAATTTGATTCAATGTTAAAAGGTAAATCAAGCTGCATTGAAAGCAGCTATTGATGACGATAAATATATAAGCATGAAACATTTAGAATATGCTAGGGATAAAGTAATAATGGGTCCTGAAGGAAAACTGAAGGCAATTGATGACGAAGTCAAGCTTATTACAGCATACCACGAAGCGGGTCACGCACTAGTTTCATTTTACACTAAAGATTCTGTGCCAATACATAAAGTTACTATTATACCTCGTGGGCCTTCGTTAGGACATGTAAGCATTGCAAAACAGACAGTAATTTATTTTTTGGTGTGCTTACAAATAGTCTTTATTTTCTTCTAGACGTCATACATGAATGAAAAAGATGTATATCATGTAACAAAATCACAATTACTAGCTAGAATGGATTCAATGATGGGTGGTCGTGCTGCAGAGGAATTAATTTTTGGACCTGATAAAGTGACAACTGGAGCAGCAAACGATTTTGAAGTATTTCTATGTTCCTATGTTTCTCTGTTTAATGCAACACTTCAATTTCCTTTGTGGATCAGACAAGATCATAATATATTCCCACTATTAACCAAAACTATTAACCAAAACTAAGTCTAAAATAATTAACACATAAACATATTATTATTATACGAAAAAATATATATTTTCAAACTATTCTACTTTGTAACAATGTAGCTGCACAGTTGTTCTTTTACTGATAAATGTTAAATGATACAATTTCTTTTGAAATTAGAAACTTTTTAAGTTAACTATAAAACAAAATCGATAATGCCCTTAATTACTACTTAGCATTTTGTTTGTTCCTATAAAATATATGACACAATCACTAAATATTTTAGTGCCGGGCGACGCGAAAGCGTTGTTAAATTTGTCATTTTACAAAACTTGATCGCGGCGATCGGCACTTTCATATATGAACTATAATGACCTGCAGTTCTAAAGTCGTTAATAGAATATTTTTTCAGCAAGCAACAGTAGTTGCTGAACAGATGGTGAAAACTTATGGTATGTCTGAAAAAGTTGGATTTCGGGCACATGGAGATTTAAACAAACGAAACGATAGCGTAGGTAACGAATATGGTCCTAGTACTAATGAACTCATCGACAATGAAGTGAAACGTCTTCTACAGGTAAATCTTTCCATTTTATAATAACATTTTTATATATACATTATCACATTATTATATTAACCTTTATTTTCATTTAGGAATCTTATGATCGCGCAAAAATAATATTAAAAACTCATTCGAAAGAGCACAAACAGTTAGCAGAGGCTTTACTTAAATATGAAACTTTAGATGCCGAAGATATTAAAGCAATAGTAAATGGGAAAANCATCGACAATGAAGTGAAACGTCTTCTACAGGTAAATCTTTCCATTTTATAATAACATTTTTATATATACATTATCACATTATTATATTAACCTTTATTTTCATTTAGGAATCTTATGATCGCGCAAAAATAATATTAAAAACTCATTCGAAAGAGCACAAACAGTTAGCAGAGGCTTTACTTAAATATGAAACTTTAGATGCCGAAGATATTAAAGCAATAGTAAATGGGAAAANCGAAGCGGGTCACGCACTAGTTTCATTTTACACTAAAGATTCTGTGCCAATACATAAAGTTACTATTATACCTCGTGGGCCTTCGTTAGGACATGTAAGCATTGCAAAACAGACAGTAATTTATTTTTTGGTGTGCTTACAAATAGTCTTTATTTTCTTCTAGACGTCATACATGAATGAAAAAGATGTATATCATGTAACAAAATCACAATTACTAGCTAGAATGGATTCAATGATGGGTGGTCGTGCTGCAGAGGAATTAATTTTTGGACCTGATAAAGTGACAACTGGAGCAGCAAACGATTTTGAAGTATTTCTATGTTCCTATGTTTCTCTGTTTAATGCAACACTTCAATTTCCTTTGTGGATCAGACAAGATCATAATATATTCCCACTATTAACCAAAACTATTAACCAAAACTAAGTCTAAAATAATTAACACATAAACATATTATTATTATACGAAAAAATATATATTTTCAAACTATTCTACTTTGTAACAATGTAGCTGCACAGTTGTTCTTTTACTGATAAATGTTAAATGATACAATTTCTTTTGAAATTAGAAACTTTTTAAGTTAACTATAAAACAAAATCGATAATGCCCTTAATTACTACTTAGCATTTTGTTTGTTCCTATAAAATATATGACACAATCACTAAATATTTTAGTGCCGGGCGACGCGAAAGCGTTGTTAAATTTGTCATTTTACAAAACTTGATCGCGGCGATCGGCACTTTCATATATGAACTATAATGACCTGCAGTTCTAAAGTCGTTAATAGAATATTTTTTCAGCAAGCAACAGTAGTTGCTGAACAGATGGTGAAAACTTATGGTATGTCTGAAAAAGTTGGATTTCGGGCACATGGAGATTTAAACAAACGAAACGATAGCGTAGGTAACGAATATGGTCCTAGTACTAATGAACTCATCGACAATGAAGTGAAACGTCTTCTACAGGTAAATCTTTCCATTTTATAATAACATTTTTATATATACATTATCACATTATTATATTAACCTTTATTTTCATTTAGGAATCTTATGATCGCGCAAAAATAATATTAAAAACTCATTCGAAAGAGCACAAACAGTTAGCAGAGGCTTTACTTAAATATGAAACTTTAGATGCCGAAGATATTAAAGCAATAGTAAATGGGAAAA